ACTCTCTGTATGGGTCTGTCAGTATTGTCATCCAAGGCCCCAATTTAGGGACATGCCAAGCTGACTCTGCTGTAAAACACCCTAGCAGGATCTTAGCAACCAAGGCTAATCCATTTTTATAAGGGTTTCTACGACTTCGATGTTCCTGCAGATTCTAAAATGTCAAATGAATGATCAAACTTGCTCACTCTATTAGAATAAAATTAGGTGGGAGTTTAACTCCTCTCCAGAAACAGGAACAATGGCTTGCGCAATCCAACTTTCAGCCCACTCCTCGGCTGTGTCCAGTTTTGCCCAGGTATGAGAGGCATCTGCCGTGCGGGCCTGCGATAGAAAACCGGGTTTGTTCTCAATGCCAACTGCAAGCAATGAGTGGAGGACAGAGAAAAGACACTTGGTTTCTGTACGCATCATAATCCTCAGCCCGTGCCCATGAACGACTGGCACCTGGCTAAGGGGCGCTGACTCTTACCAGGCCTGTGTCAGTGGGTAGTGAAGGCTTGGACCAACATTCTTACATTCAAAGCTTCATTGATAGGTAACAATTAGTCCTCGATATAAACAAAAAAATTAACTAATTACTGATTCTAGGAAGAACCTGGAATACCTTCTCACCTACTTTATAAAATCATAAAAATCTGGGATTCTCCTTTTTGCCCTGATCTTGCTTTTCCTCAAGTCCCCCTATCTTACTACAGGATCTGTTTTCACACCCCTGGAGTCCATCGTGGCTCGTAGTGGCCCTCTAGGACAGACTGGAAATGTCCCTGTGGGTTTCTGAAGCTGTAAATCTCTACAGGTGTAGAAAACTTCTTCTTTCTCCCTCGGAACAGCTGGTGGTTTCGAACTACCCACCTTGTGATTTCCAACGCAACGTATAGGCCAGTAATCCACCAGGGCTCGTGTTGTATAGTCACTAAAATCAGTTGGTTATTAAGAGTCCATTCTGAATCATGGCAACCCAATGGGTGTCTGAGCAAAGCCATGTGCCATAGGGTTTCAAAAAGCTGGTTCTTCAAAAGGAAATAGCCAGTTCTTTTTTTCATGGTTCCTCTGGGTGAATTCAAACCTCCAACCTTTGGGTTAGCGGCCAAGTATGTCCACTGTTTGCACTGACCAGGATTGCATTCTAGCCACGAGTAGCTCCCATTCTCCAAGCTCAGCTTCAGCGATCATTTGGTCACTTAGCTCATTACTGAAGGCTTAGACTGATAACCCCCAACCCCCAAACAACCCCATCACACCCCATCTGAGTCATGGCCATCCTTCAAATACTTACCCTAAATAACTCCACTTTCACAAGAATTTAGGACAACATAATATTAAATGACTGCTCAATTATATCTTGCCAACGGTGCCCTGTATTTCCTGTGACTTACCTTCCTCGACTTTCTGTAATATTATCAGTTTGTTGACTCGCTGATCAGAACTGTGTATCACTCATCTTCAGTGCAGTTGGCAGCTTGACCATGGCAGGCATTCCATAGGAGTACTAAACCCAACTATAAAGTACACTAGGGATTTAATGGTCACTTCTGAATAAACCTGTGTTTTATAGAAACCTAGACTAATCTCAGCTCCCCAAAGGATCTAAAGCATAACCTTGGGAAGATTCTATTTCCACTGAGCTGTGCGAGTGTTTTAAAAGATCCCGTATTGTCTTGTTAGAAAATGAGGGCCTCCTTAAACATAAGAAAATAGATTTCTTTTAGATGCAGCTCTTCCAAGTACTTCACAGTCAAAAAGCAGAACACAACAAGAGCATGTCATCATGTTCTGACATCCAGCGACCTCTTGGGGGAAAAGGTAAAGCTTTACAAAATGCTGAGCCAATAACAACTGTTGATAAGAACTCAAGTCTGTGTAATCTAGCTGAAATGAAATGGAACACTGAGATGGAAAAATAGAGAGAATTGGAGAGTGGTTACAATATATAAATAGTTTAGATCAAAACATGAGGCTGAATGCTGTTACCCATCATAGAAGCAATCTTCAAGAATGAAATGACTTGAAATAAAATTACTTAAGATGGCCCATAAGAGCCATTCTGTATACCAACAGGTTATCTGAGCTGATCTAATGTTTTTTTTCTCCCATTCGTAAGGGATTATATGTTCAATTTATTTAAAAACATACAGTCTTATAGCTTTATATTCTCAAATAATTATTTGGTAGCAGTGGTATATAGATTGCTAATTTGCTACATCAGTTATTCATATCCATAAGAAGAGATGAAAGGTTCTTTCCTGTCCATGTTATAAAGGAGACAGCAGAAACACTGCCCCCACCTCTTAGGTACACCAAGAGTGCCCCAGTTCTGTACTGGAATGTGCAAGAACCTTCTCTCCAGTTTCCAACTGGGTGGGGAACATCCAAACCAAAAATATGAATATTTAAATTTAACAAGCTCACTTATATACACACTATTTTGGGTAATCAACAGTCACTAGGGGACAGAATCATTTTCATTGTAGCCCTTGGAGCACAACCTCAGTAAGGAACCACTTGAGAATTACATTGGCACCCATTAGTTAGTAAGCAGAGCATTTGCTGTGCAGTTATTTACATTTAATGGAAAGACTGTCAAAAACTAACATAAATATGAACTTGAATTCCACGTTGGTTTGGGAGTTGTTTTGATTTTAATGTGTGTTGAAATATTGTACGTAACTTTAAGTAAGATGATGGAATTTAAGTTTCCCCAAAGATGAAGTATAATAACATAAACATTTGTTGTCGGTAAGTCTGTATAATCAAGTTATTCATAGTGAAATAAACTAAAACGTAAGCAAGTTTTGCATTTGGCAGGTTTTCTTAGTTCTTTGTGGACTAATCTTGTACAAATTATTCAAATGACATGAGCTATACTCATCCTATATACAATATGCTGCTCTTTCCCCAAAGAGAGGTACACGCTACCACTTAAGCCCATTTTTTTCTAGTTTCTCTATATAAGTGTGAAAAAAGAGCAGATGTTTTTCCAAAATTACTTAAGCTTGGAAGACATGCTATCATTTTCTTCGATATAACCCTGCAGAAGTACCAGAACCGTCATGGTGAGATTGTAATCGATGGCTTCTGTGAAATAAGTATTATAAATATCAGAAAGCACCACATTGAGAAAGTGTTTATTATAATGAAATGTTGTGGGCTATTTGCCACCCTTATTTCATTTTCCAACATGGACTTGCTTTTTATTCTAGTTATTCTACACTGGAGGAAAGCGCCAAGAAGCTGCTACAACTGAGCCACAGTTTTTCTACACTATATTTTCTACACTTGAAAGTTTAATAGGCGTTATCAGCCGCTTTAATCACACTTCATTATAAAACCTATTAAAATGATCATTTTATAAAAGTAGGGTTTGCTCTGAGTTCCTTCAAAGCCAGCCTGATAGTAAGACCAGTTCCCATGGAACATTTAAAGATGAAGAGGATTGTCTTGGAGTTCTTTGTTCATTATGCACAACTTGGCCCAGGAGAGATGCCCGTGTACCTCGTTAGCTAAAACAGACAGGACTGCAAATTAATTTTCCAGTGAGAGTCCAAGTGGGCTCTGATCATTCGGGTTTCTGAGGCAGATCTGGAGCAAGCTGAACTGTTGGAGCAGCATGCTCAGGTTTGAATCTCAGACTTGGTAATCCTTAGCGTCTCTTTCCCTGTCTCTTACAGGATACAAACTTCTCCTTAGACTGAACCTGCACAGTGTAAAGGTACAACTTTAAGTGTTTAAGTGCAGGGGTATTCATGGCCCTTTCCAAAAAAACCAGTAAATAATAAATTGAGACTAGGCAAGTATTTAGCCCTCTTCTTATATTGTCTACTTGTATTTAGTAAGAGTCACAAGGGACCTAGTATTATTATGTAACATGTGTCATCCACACAATGAAATGTAGACAGGAACAGAGTAGCAAAATCCTTCCTTGTGTTTTTCTCCCCGAGTTCTATCATTATCTGTTAATTACCAATACCATCCCTTCAGTCCCTTCCTCATTGTCTGTTAACCTAATGTCCCTGCTGCTCTCCCCTCCATGGAATGTTGTATAACAAGTTCGTTCCATTTTCCCATCCAAGTTATGAAGCCCACTGACATCAAAACTGCTCGAACAACACCAGAATGGTTGCATTAGAAACCAGGACTGAGGCAAACAGTGGATGCACGTTTTGAAAAAAAGTGTGCCTTTATCTCTATTTGACCCTGAAACACACGCAAGCCTCTTGGGAGATGGAGCCAACTGCTCCATTAGTAACATGATGCAAATTCCTTAAGGAAAATAAGCAATATTCTTCATCAGATGTTATGAAGAATTTTTTTTTCTCAAATCAACAGACTAAGCTTCCATTTCTGAATTGTAAATGTCATCCAATTCAGGCAATTAAAAAAATAAATCTTCCCTTTCGTATGCCTGTTTGCTTATTTTTTACACTTTGATGCTGACAGAACATCAGGTTGGAAGGGTGGCAGCATGAATCACCAGCGTGTACAGAAATCCGAGAGAGCCACAAAAGCATAGAAAGTGAGGGGGAGATCAGACGCATTTCATTTCCAGTCTGATCAGCCTGCATTTAGGCTTTTCCGGATGGACAGGTTTGCCCGTGCATTTGGATTGGGAGACGGGGCTCTATATTCTTCTATACACACACACACACACACACACACACACACACACACACACACACACCCCTAGCATTCAAACTCTACACAGTAGGTGACATACATATACACATATGAATGTATTATATATATATGGGCACACACACACATATATATATTGAACAATACCTTGAGATTTGACAAAGACACGAAGGCAACGTATGTGCAGCGAGTCAGGGTCTGAGAAACGTGCCCAGCCGCGCAAGTAGTGCCCGTTAACATGAGACATTTCTGAGGCCGAGGACAGACATGGCAAGCAGAGGGGCGGGGGCCGACAAAGAATACTGAGACCCGCCGCTCCCCACCGACAGGGTGCCCCCTGGCCCCGGCGCGTCACCCCAGCTTACTGTGGGCTCTTCGGGTAGAAGGGCAGGGTCACATGGCTGAGGTCCTGGATGTCGAAGGCAGTGGGCTCAGCGGAGATCGCCTGTCTCTTGGTGCGCGGCTCGCCCTGCAAGGTGCTGGCGCTCTGCTTCTGCGCCTGCTGGGTGGCCGGCCGGATCACCGAGCGGTACTTGTCCAGCTCGTTCTGCAGCTTCTGGATCAGTTCGTCCTTCTGATCCAACTCCAGCTCCAGCTCATCGATGAGGGCATCCCGCTGCCGCAGCTCCTCGATCTTCTCCTGGAGCGCGTACTGTAAATCCCGCAGGGTGCCCATGCTCCTCCGGGCTGCCGGGGGCTCCTGCCTGCCGCTGCTCCGCGTCTCGGGGCCGCTTCCCCGCTCCGATCAACTTTCCCCAAAGTCGCCGCGGCCGCCTCCCGAGTGCAGAAGCTTCCCACTTGAGCCCCAAGCCAGCCCTGGCTTCTGAGCATGCCCAGTGCCCGGGCTCCAGCCGCCCGGAGTTTCCGTGTGCAGCTTCCACTTCTCAGGGTGCGCGGATGAGCCACACAGCAGGTCCACGCCGGGAGGAAGCGGGGAGCCCGCGGGGGCGGGGGCGGGGGCCGGGCGCGGGGGCTCCCCGGCGGGGCTCTGGCCACTGGCGCCGGGTGCCCGAGGCGTGCGGGGAGCCGGGGAGAGGCGTGGGGCGCGCGCCGGGGGACGTGTCGGCCGAGGGAGGCGGGCGGGAGCGGATGGGGAGGACCCCGTGCCAAGCCTGGACGCGTTGTCAGCCCGCTCGGGGCGCGTCGGTCCAGAGGACCCAGGGCCGCGGGCCGCGGGCTGCGATCCGGCGATGGTCGCGGGCAGAGCGCACTGCGAGCTCTGCTGGGCTGGGGACCGCCAGTCGCGGCGAGAAAGGCTCCGGAGCCGCCGGGCACCGGCGTCTCCACGTCCCCTTTTCCCACGGAGAGCGCCTCACACAGGTGGCTCACGCTGCCAAAGAAACTTGCCTCTCCGGAGAGGAGACAAGAGTCCGTGCCGGGAGGGATGCCCAGCCTATCCTGGTGCCTCTGGTGATGGATCGGGGCTGGGGGTGCTCCCCCCACCCCCGCCCTGAACACGGCCTCTCTACTGGTTCTGGCTAGCTATCCCCCTCACGCCCCTTCCATACTCAGAAGAAAGAAATCCTTAGAGGGCAAAGGCCAACAAGGAGTTTGGGCCCTAGGAGGCTGCTAGCTTAGGTTCTGCTGCAGTTTATCGGTGGGCTTGGCATGGTCCATTTCCTGAGTTAGGGGTAAAACTCATCGATGAACCCCCAAAAAGCTCATCCTGATACTGAACCACTTCTCTGACAACCAGGCTGTTAGAACCTCTTTCCACTCTCAGGCCAAGGAAGAAAGTCCAAGAAGCGGTGAAGGGGAGGGAAAAGGGAAGAGGCAGACTAAAAAGGGCTACAGTCAATCTTCCCAGCCACCATCCCATCTCCCCCACTCTGAAGCCTAAACCCCAAACCCAAACCCACGGCCATCGACACTATCCTGACTCATACTGAGCCGACAGGATCGGGTCGGTTAGAACTGTCTCCGTCCTTGTCAGCGTTTAGGAGACTAACTCTTCATGGGAGTAGAAAGCCTTGTCTTTCTCCCGTGGAGCGGCTGGTGGTTTCAAACGGCTGACCTTACAATTAACAGTGCAATGCTTAACCACTACACCACCCCTACCGGCTCACTATCTCCTAACACGATGAGGATTAGATAGTGACTAGGGGTCCATAGCTAATTCTTCCACCATAGGAACATTTTTTTAATCGCCAAATGTACATATAATCCTCGCCTAAATTCCTAATATTTACCTAAATCTTCAATTTGTCCATTTTTAAAAGAATCTGCATTGGCTCCCTAGAGACTATTTCTGGTACACTCAATGTTACAACCCTCAATGCTTTCTTTAGTCATTTTTAACACCAAAACAAAGAAAATAGGTTACCATGGACTTGCAATAAGGAACTACCCACTAGAGTCTAAACTTAGCCAAAGATATAAACACCAGTCTTAAAAATGTGCTCACTCTTGCTTTTGAATGTCCAACTTTTTTTCTAGCAGAATTTAGTATAAAAAAGGGAGAAACACCTAGCCAAAGGAATGTCAACAAGCTTTTCACTTAAAACGCATTTGTCTGTACTTAGGGGTACAGATGACAAAAGTCCTAAACAACATTCTTCCACACAGATTGTGATCTTACTCACATAGAACAAATGTGCTCACTTAATTTCTCTAGTTTTTCACACAAGCATTATGAAAAGTTCATTTATTTCCAAATGGGCATGCCCCAGACATGTTTATTTATGGTTGTAAATGATGGGTCATTTACAAACACTGCTGTTGTGTTGTTGTTGGGTGCCATCAAGGCGGTCCCAACTCACGGCTATCCTGCAGGCAACAGCAGACACAGCGCCATTCTCACAAGTGTTTGCCATTCTCACAAGTGTTGCTTTGTTTGATCCCCTGTGTCAGGCAGTGAGTCTATCCATGTCCCTGTGGGTCTTTCTCTTTTCCACTGGCCTTCCACTTTGCCAAGCATGATGTTCTTTTCTCCCCTCATAACATGTCCAAGAGAGGTGAGACTAAAGTCTTGCTAAACTTGCTTCCAAGGATCGTTCGGGCTGTACTTCCATGACAGATTTGTTTGGCTTCTGGCAGTTCATGGAACTTTCTATATTCTTCACCAACACTGTAATTCAAATGCACTGATAATTCCCCAGTCTTCCTTATTCAGTGCCCAACTTTCACACGCATATGAGGTGACTGAAAATACCATGGTGTGCATCAGACACACCTTAGTCTTCGAGGTAACATTTGGGATCTTCAGTACTTTAAAGAGGTCTTGTGGAGCAGAGCAGTAAATAATAGCACTGAGATTATTATTTTAATTAAAAGTAAGACAAGCAGAGAATAGGAGAGGTTTTCCAAAATTCCATGGAAAATATGTATTATGAAAAAAATCATGCATAGATTTCACACATTCTGCACCCAAATAAACTCCTACTAACTTGTTAAAACATGATCCCGAAGATATCTATTTGAAAAGAGCCCTATCAGAGCAACATGAATTCTGCTAAAATTGAAGCAAGAATTAACATCAAATTATGTGTGAAGCTCAGGTGGAAGAATGATGAAACTATTCATGCTTTATGCACAGTTTATGAGGAAATACTCAAATAAATTTTTAAATTACAAATGGATAGATAACTTCTTTTAAGAAGATACTGAAGATGAAGCCCACTGTGTCAAGCCATCCACATCAATTTTCAGGGAAATCTTTAATTATGCCAGTGCTCCCATGGCAGAAGGACTGACAGCAGAGACCATGGCCAGTACCACAGTGAAAAAGAGGAACGTCCTAGATAAGATGGATTGACACAGTGGCTGCAACAATGGGCTCAAACCTGAGAATAATCTCAGGAAGGTGCAGGACCAGGGTGGTGTTTTATTCTGTGCCCAAAGGATAGAAGAGAGTCAGAAACAACTAGACAGCCCCTGACAACAATAACATAGCTCTGTCAATTGGTTCGGCTTACCCAATTCTGACTGGAAAATTAAAGTTGAGCCAACCTTCTACTTGATGGGGGCCAAACACGTTGCACACAGATCTGTTGTAGACAAGAGCAGAGCGCTCCATGGAAGTGGTACACGAGTGGGATCAAGATCCTGCAGCATTTCATGAGAGAATTGTATCAGGAAATGACATGGCTTTACCAGGACCAGCCTGAAGACAAAGCGAACTCGAAGCAACGGCTACCCAGAGTTGGCAGTGGCCGAGTCAAAACAAAAGCAGATTGGCCAAGGGCTCAGGGTCATGGCAACAGCTTTGGGGAAAGCGCAGGACATTTTTTCTTATTGACTATCTGGAGGGTTAAAGAACAACAACAGTTTCTTTTACAAGGTATTGTTGGTCAAAGGTTTAGTGGGGAAACACCCTAGAAAACATCACATCGAGTCTTTTACCACCATCACAATACACATGCTCATTCCTCTCATCAAACATGGGTAATTTTTATGAGTTTTTTTTTTTTATGTGGGAAAGAGTTAGGCATCCACCTTACAGTCCTGATTTGGGTCCCTCTGTTTTATTTTTATTTTTCAAGGTTACAGAAATATTTAAAGGGGACCCATTTTTCTTCAGTCAGTAAAGTAGAAAAGACTTCACTGACATGGATAAATTCCTAGGACCCTCACTTTTAAAACAATGAACAGAAAGGCTAGGCCATCACTTATGAGGGTGTCTTGACCTTGACAGAGCTTATGTTGACCAAAATTTTATTTTATCTTTTAATTCAACTTTTCCATGAACTTTTAGAAATCCTCTCATAATATGCATAAGTGACTCTGTTCTAAAAGACCTGCAGTGAGATTTCCTCCTCCTGAGCAGAAGGCCAAATTCTTACCTTATTTAACTAATAATAATTCTCTATGAAATAACTTTTTTCTAAAGATCTATCTAGGAATCCACGAGGCCAAGCACTTATGTCTAAAAATACATCAGAAAGCAATAAATAGGCACTACCATTAAGTAGCTACTAATAAGTTTCATTATTATTATTTTACAGTGTATTTGAGGTCTAAATAAAGGTACCGTATATACTTGTGTATTAGCCAAGTGTTTCAACACATTTTTATTGCAGTTCTTAAAGTAAAATTAGGTGCTTCGGCAGATAATTGGGTCAGCTTATACTCGAGTATATACAGTAATAATAGCTCTTCGTGGAACTTTTGATAGGGTAATGAGTTAAGTAGTAGGAAGTTCAAGTGCACCTAGTGATGGCTTAAGAGAAAGGCCTGACCCCCTTCTTCCAAAAATATAGCCAGTCAAAACTATGGATCCCAGTTCGACTCTAACACATATGGAGTCACCACTAGTTAGAGAAAACCCAGTCAAAACTGGGGGTTTTTTTGTTTTGTTTTTAGTGTCTGAGAAACATAAAGAAAGTACTTCCTAGTTTTTATACAGCGTATACAGATATAAAGGAAAATAGAAATTAAAATACTTTTTATAAAATATAAAAAGTACCATATTCACCAAAAATATTCAGGTATTTTGAATAAAAGAGTTCTTAAAACTGAATTGTAGTTTTTCAGTAGCATATCTATACACACCTAGGATATACATTACACACACCACACATATGTTCATGTTAATGGGAATTCTTGTGATAACAGAATATATGTCCCACAATTAATCCAATCTTGGAGGTAGGAATTCGTTATAATAATCATAGATAGAGTCATGGTTGAAAAGATATGACATGAATGTCTTACCCTTTAAAAAATGTCAAAGGTATAAAACATTCAGTGAAAATTAGTTATAAAAAATAATTTAATTTTTCTGTAAATGCTTTATATATGTTTAATTCTTTAAAAATGCAAAATTTGGAATTACAAGTGTTTCTCTTTCATCCTTGAAGTAAAAATATATATTTTCAGTTTTCTCAATGATATTCCTAATTGGTTATTTT